TGCTTCTGCTAGTATTTTGAATACTTCTTCTAAACTATCTCTTATTTACTTTATAAACAGCCACCATTTCATCTTTTTTTACCTAATCCTACTGTATTCAAATATTCTTCAAATTTAAAAAAGTCAATAAAAATGTTATATCAGTTTTTTTTCTAGATCCCTCATGATTAATTAATATTTAACAGTCAACAATTTCAACTTAAAATTTCTTGATATATTCTAACAATTTAATAATTTTATTTTACAGTAAAGTACAAAGTTCAACAAACTAAGTTTACTAAATTATATAAATTTTTTTTTATTTTTAGATCATTTAATAAAAAAATTGTTTATAAACTAAATCAGTGATATTTTGAGATACATAATTTAGTCTAATAGAAATAGATGAAAAAAACTTCAAAGAAACTAATCAGAGTTAGATGAGAGAATGAAATTGTAGGAGAGTTATAATAGACAGTCTGAATTAATGATATTATATTGTAATAAAATTTCATTTTATTAGAAATCGAGATTCATGATAGTAATTCTTTATTATTCTCATGAATTATGTTATTTTTAATAGGGTAACCTATAAATAAAAATAATTATATTTTGTTAATTGATGTAAAGTAGTTAATCATTTATAAATTTGGTATTCAAAATAATTGAAGTTGCATACACAAAGTTAGATAGCTGGTATATTGAATAAAGTTTATAGAAATTTATTCATAGAATCAATCAATGGAATCAATTCAAGAAGGATGTAGACTTTTTCATTAAAAATTTCAAAGAAAAAATTGAGAATCAGTTAATATATAGATTTTAATAGTTCTAGGAATTTAATACATTTCCTGCATACTAGTATTTTGATTATTAACTGACAAATATATATGATTGCCAAATTAAAAAAAATAATTTTTTTTGTAGTTGAAAAAAAAAGTTTATTTTATAAATTTCTTGTGAACTTTTTCGCTCAATTTTGTAAATGAAATAAATCCTATATTATTAGGCTAAAAAATTAATATTTATGTGATTGAACAACCTCAAAATAGATAAGAATATATAAAAGTATGTCTTGGTATTCCCTCTAATCAAGTGGAATATATGAAAAATATAAAGATGCAGGATATTTGTTTGAAGAATTTCAAGATTGTCCAACTTGACCTTTTATTAAAATCTCTTCTTAATTTTTAGGAATGGAGATTTTTTAGAATAAACCTTTTCTACAATATACTGTAATAAATTCAAAAGGAAAAATAGTTTTTAAAATGGTTCCTTTTCACTTATCATTTTATAATTTAAAAAGGCTTTATTTTTTTGGTCTATAAAACTCATCTCTTAAAAGTATTAATAAAACATTAATTATACAGTTAGAAAAATAAGAAAGTTTAAAACGATTTAGAAATAATAAGTTCGAAATTATAGTATTATTCATATATCCTGAATAAAACTAAAATAGAAACTAGTTTGAATATTATATAAATAAAAGAATAAGTTTAGAGAATCTCGAAATTTGTTATTCTCTATTAAGAGTAATATCATAAATTAATTGTTGGGGTATTTGAATAAGGAGTTGGAAAAAATTTACTAAATTTATATATTTAATTTAAAAATGATCGATAATGTCTAATTAAAATATATGATATCTCATACTCTATCATATCAATCCTCCTAAATGAGTGAGTTTTAATTGAGTAATAAAGAATTATTAAATTGGCTAACTATTCAAAATCTTAAAGTATATTGATTAGGTTTAGATCTTCTTATTAAACAATTTAAATAATTTTTTATCTTTAGTATTAAATTATAATATGTTTTATATAATTAATATTAATTTTTGTTTGATTTTAGAAAATAAATAAATCAATATATATATAATTTTTTTAATGAAAAAATGAATTAAGAAGTAATAAACCTAAAGAAATACTTCTATATAATATCTTGTGAAGGAATTATAGAATAATCCTATAGCATAAATCTTGAATAGCATTAAAGAGATAAGGTTTCGTACATATGGAAATATCATAAAGCTGTATAAAAAGGAACATCATAATAACTTAGTTCAACTAAAAAAATTTAATTGCCAATATCATGTCTCAAGATATACATAAAAGGCATAAAATGTTTAATCACAGATGTTGATAAAGATAAAAAGAATAAGTGTGATAAAGAATTTAAATTGAATTATGTTGCATTAAAGAATATTTTACGCAGTTATCGATTAAAAAATAGCCATTAAATTTATTAAATAAAAATAGAAAGAAAAGAAAAAAGGAATTTATAATGATAAAAATGATAATAATTTATACAATATAGTAGTAGATTATTTTTGTACAAGAATGCTTTGTAGTTCTATTGGGAAAATAGTTATATGGATTAGGAAGCAGATAATAATGGAAATGGAGAGCTATATTTAATTCTATGCATATTTTAGATTTATTAGAATAAATATATAGAAATTATTGATAGATTTAGGATTATGAATTGAGACAGTATATATTTTAAAATTAATATCCTTTTTTTTTTTAAATAAAAATTATTTATTAATTTATATTAGAAATGGACCAATCATAATCCGACTAATAAGAAAATCAAGTTAATACAAAAAGTGAATAGACAGAAGCTTAATAGTAGTAGGACAAAGTGGAATTACAAAAGGATAAAGAAAAATGCTTAGAAATAAAAAACAAAGCCGGATAATTGTTTAACGAATAAAAGTTTAAAGAGGCTGCAGTTGTCTACTAAGAAGCCATTGATTATTGTCCTTTAGAAGATTCAAATATGTTATGTATCTTAAATTCAAATATTGCTATTTGTTTAATTAATCAATCTAATTTTAAAAGTGCTATTAAACAATGCTCAAAAGCACTTGAATACAATCCTGAATTTGTTAAGGCTTTATTTAATAGAGCAGAATGTTATGAAAAAACAGATTAATTGGAAGAGGCATTAGATGGTATTGTTTAAAGAATATTCTAGATTATAAGAAATTAAAGGGATTATAACCTAAGGATTATTTTATTTAGAAAAAGTTCATTGATTTAGATTTGAAAGTTTAAGACTTCGTAGAAAAAAGAAAGAATGATGCCATGAAGAGAATAAAAAATTAAGCATTATTAGGATAATTAGGATTAAATTCAGATAATGTTTAATTAGAATAGAATGCAGATGGAACATTTAATTTTTCATTTTCATAATAATGATTCAAAAAATTCATTTTTAAATGATTAATATAGTATAATAGGTAGTCTAGATAATATAATTCTATAAATAATGTTTATTAAAATCTCACTAAATCTTGTTAAATCCATTCTATAAGAGCTAAAATGATTTTATAAGATTAGTAAACTCATCATCAAGAATTAGTGCTCTTAGATAGTCCTAAAGGATTTTTTAAATATTAATTCATCTGCAAAATAAGACTCAAGTTTTGCCAAAAAAAATTAATCATCATTTTTAAAAATTTTATATTTATTAAAATATATGTTCAATTCTTAATTTTCTTAACAGAAAGATTTTGGTGATTTTAATTATATAAAATTGAGCTTGATTAACTTTTTATTCAAAATTTCAATTATTTTTTCTGCATTAACTTAAACATGCATTAAATATTTTATTCTGCGAAAGTTCAACATATTTTATACCTAAATATATTATAAAAGATTTTGAATGACTTTTTATTTTCAAATTACCCAATTTTTGATTAATTTCCACCAATCAATTTTTTTAAAATGCAATGAATATAATTGACAATACCTATTGTAGATTATTTATTCAAGTTTATTTATTATATCTATAAAAATATTATTTTTGAACATGTCTAAAATTTTTTCACTATCTATGAATTTATTTTCATACAGCTACTCTCATTTTGAGATTTCTAACTTTTTTTTTTTTTCTGTTGTTAGTCAATTTACATATAAAGGAAACTTCTTGAATAATTTTATTAGAATATAGATATTTAAAAATAAATTATCATATTAATTATGATATGTCTCTAATCTTCTATTGCCACAAGGACAGGAGAAGAAGCACTTATCAATTGCCAAAGTGGAGTGGCTTTGCGGAAAAGCCTAGGTGGCTGGCTAGCCTTGGGATGACTCCTGCCACCTCAGGACCTAAAGAAGATG